TATTCACCACAACTGGTGCAGGTCACCCCCAAGTAAAAAAGCTGTTCACATTACTGGCTTTTGATTGGAGTCCGACTGTAAATAGTAGATTGTTTGGATCACTTTGAACAGTTCAGTTTTCTGGTTGTGATGGAGTTGCAAAGACCTATGAAGATCTGTTAGGTGACAACCTGCATATAGCAGACATGCACAGATGGTACACATGCTTTTAGTCCTGTTCACATTGAATCTGACTTTGAAATCATACGACTTCACTTGAAGTCACAGGATTTCCATGTTGGATGGCAGTGCGACTTGATAGACATCTGTGCGACTTCATGTACAGATGTCTATGCAAGTTGCACCCAAATAGGCAAAAGTAGTGCAAGAACTACTTCTCTAAATTGGTGCGACTGCAAAGTCAATTGCGGATTATTGCATGCAATTTCTCATATGATTTGAACGGTCAAATCGTATGACAAGTCACATCAGTGTGAACCAGGGCTTAATAAGGGGACTTCAGCCACCCATGTTCATTTTAACTCTTTACTTATCGGTAATGTGAAGACATGTGGAGAGGAGGGGCGGTGAAATCACAATCTCTACCTCGTCCAATCAGAGAACGTCTTGTATTCATTGATGTTTTGCTGTCACCTGAACCGGAGGTGAGCATAAATCTTATAGAGACACCTCTTCAAGTGACAGCTATTTAGGCTAACATACAAATGGGCAGAGCTGCTGTTAGAAATCATGGGACCCTGTACAGCTAGACAGGCTCACCCCCAAAACTAAAAAAAACTAGATTTTCGTTAAAAATACACAAATATTTACTAGCGGACGCAAACACAACATAACTTACAAAATTCCTGTTAAATCCGAAAGGGAAAACTGTGTTGAATAAAGCTCTGCTTGTGAATAAGGTCTTGGGGTTTAACATGAGTGCCGCACAAACTCACTCATTCACAGAGTATGGGCCAGAGAACCCATGTGAATGAGCCCTCAATTTATATTTAATAGTTTACTTTTTTTTTTATAATTGTACATTTTTTAAAAACTATTTTTTCATTATGGTGCTGGGGGGCTTTGATGAAATATCAGGGGTACAAGCACACCCCTGCCATCTCACTTTCAAAACAGAGAAAGGTACTGGGGACACACATTCCTCATTCCCTTTCTGTACAGCCTCAGCTGCATTGGAGATAAATGAACAGAAAGTACTCTGCACAGAAGCTCCTGTTCATCCATAAACTGAAGCATAGTAAACACAGTTCTTCATGCTAAAAAGATCCCCATGTGCCTGCAGTAGCCAACAGAGGGAAAGCCAGCAGTGCTGCGAGCGGAAGGAGATGGGGGGAGGCAGGGATGGACAGGGAGGGTGATCCGGGGCACAATTACTGGAACTGTTCCCCCTTGGCTATCTCTGCAGCAGTTGAAACCTGGATGGAGGGAGAGGAGGAGAAGCCAGCTTTCACCTGCTATGGAGAGAGCCACATAGGGGGAACAGTTTTAGTATCTGCACCCCCAACGCACTGATCACCCTCCCTGTCTACATCCACTTCCCCCTGCTGCTCGGGCACCCCTGTTGGCCCTGGCCCTGTACAGAAGGGCCAGTGGTACCCCCTTATGAGGCAGCCTTTCATAGGCTCTGCTATACAGTTGCATTCTGGTTCCGTTATGTCATAGAAAAATTTTATTCCTTCTCAAGTTACAAACTTCATACTCTAATGTGAAAATGAATGTACAGTGGGGATCGAAAGTTTGGGCACCCCAGCTAAAAATTTGTATTAATGTGCATAAAGAAGCCAAGGAAAGATGGAAAAAATCTCCAAAAGGCATCAAATTACAGATTAGACATTCTTATAATATGTCAACAAAAGTTAGATTTTATTTCCATCATTTACACTTTCAAAATAACAGAAAAAAAAAAATGGCGTCTGCAAAAGTTTGGGCACCCTGCAGAATTTATAACATGCACTGCCCCCTTTGCAAAGCTGAGACCTGCCAGCGCTATGGATTGTTCTCAATCATCGTCTGGGAAGACCAGGTGATGTCAATCTCAAAGGTTTTAAATGCCCAGACTCATCTGACCTTGCCCCAACAATCAGCACCATGGGTTCTTCTAAGCAGTTGTCTAGAAAACTGAAACTGAAAATAGTTGACGCTCACAAAGCTGGAGAAGGCTATAAGAGGATAGCAAAGCGTTTTCAGATGTCAATATCCTCTGTCCGGAATGTAATTAAGAAATGGCAGTCATCAGGAACAGTGGAAGTTAAAGCAAGATCTGGAAGACCAAGAAAAATATCAGACAGAACAGCTCGCAGGATTTTGAGAAAAACAATTCAAAACCCACGTTTGACTGCACGATCCCTCCAGAAAGATCTGGCAGACACTGGAGTTGTGGTACACTATTCCACTATAAAGAGATACTTGTACAAATATGGTCTTCATGGAAGAGTAATCAGAAGAAAACCTCTTCTACGTCCTCAACACAAAAATCATTGTTTGAACTTTGCAAATGAACATATAGACAAGCCTGATGCATTTTGGAAACAAGTTCTGTGGACCGATGAGGTTACAATTGAACTTTTTGGCTGAAATGAGCAAAGGTACGTTTGGAGAAGAAGGGGCACAGAATTTAATGAAAAGAACCTCTGTCCACCTGTTAAGCATGGGGTTGGATCAATCATGCTTTGGGGTTGTGTTGCAGCCAGTGGCACAGGGAACATCTCACGAGTAGAAGGAAAAATGGATTCAATAAAATTTCTGCAAATTTTGGATGGTAACAGATGCCATCTGTAAAAAAGCTGAAGTTAAAGAGAGAGGATGGCTTCTACAAATGGATAATGATCCTAAACACACCTCGAAATCCACGGGGGATTACATCAAGAGGCGTAAACTGAAGGTTTTGCCATGGCCTTCACAATCTCCTGACCTCAACATAATTGAAAATCTATGGATAGACCTTAAAAGAGCAGTGCGTGACAGACAGCCCAGAAATCTCAAAGAACTGGAAGACTTTTGTAAGGAAGAATGGGCAAAGATACCTCAAACAAGAATTGAAAGACTCTTGGCTGGCTACAAAAAGCGTTTACAAGCTGTGATACTTGCCAAAGGGGGCAGTAGAAGATATTAACTCTGCAGGGTGCCCAAACTTTTGCAGATGCCATTTTTTTGTTTTCTGTTATTTTGAAAGTGTAAATGATGGAAATAAAATCTAACTTTTGTTGACATATTATAAGAATGTCTAATCTGTAATTTGATGCCTTTTGGAGATTTTTCCATCTTTCCTTGGCTTCTTTATGCACATTAATACAAATTTTTAGCAGGGGTGCCCAAACTTTCGATCCCCACTGTAAATCTGATGGTTATTCACATATATTCATTTACATTTCAGATTCAGCTATTCAGAGTCAGTCCAAAAACAGACAGACTTATGGGTGGTGATATGTTGGTGCCAGATTTTCTTCTTACAAATGTTAACTAGTTATAGGACATTGGTGATCCTTGCTTTTTATTCCCTCATGTCCCTTCTAACGGGGGTCTCAATCCACTTCCTGCATTCATCAGAAAACAGATACCTAAAAGTCATCTGTTAAAGTCTGCAGTGGAGCTGAGAGTGCAGGCACAAGTTTCCACAACAGATGATTATGCCAATATCCACCACAAAAACTCATTTTTCAGGTTGACTGACCATTTAATAAATAATAAAAAAAAAGCTAAAAGAAAACCTGTGCTGAGACAAGTGTGGAGATGGCCTTTTCCAATCACCTCCGGAAACTGCTAGTGGCCTAGTTGCCTCTGGCAATACTTTCTAAGCTACTGACCCAAAAAAAGCCTGAAGGAAGTAAATCAGAATTAAATAAAAACTATTGATCTGCAAACTTTCTCTAGGCCAGTGGCTCAAAGTACTGGAGCTTTCCAACTAGGAAATACAATATGGCTGCACATATGAACATCTTGCAAAGCAAACCACAGTTTTCTAATAAATTATGCACCGTCACCACTGAACATAATGCTCTGAACCTGCCCGAGAAGGAAACAAAAACACACATAATACACATAGGGGGAAATGTTTGGTCAAAACTGTAATACTCAGATTAACAATAAATCCCACAAATAACGGCCTCCAGGCTTCTCTGGTTCCTTTTCACACAAAAAAGGGCTTTACTAGATGTCACAGCCCAAAAATCTTTAATCCTCCTTCTTTGAATTTGAAGAGAAGAGACAACAGGAGTGACCAATGTCATTTCCTTTGTCTAACATGGGAATTTCACTTCCATGGAAAAATAAACAAAAATAAAAACAAACACTTTGGCGAATGTAATTCTTGGAGAGAGGCTGAATACATTCTGGTGGTCTATGAATCCCCCAGAAAATAATTTTTTTTTTTTTGTGAAGACCATTTTTCAAAGCACAGCCAAGAAAAAAAAAATCAACACAAAGGTTGGCAATCCATTTTTCAAAATGTATTAGATTGTACTTTGAACCAGCTGGATCTCGGGAACCCCAAGTAATACGTTCTTATGCTTCCTTCTGGGGTGTACAATCAAACTCAGGTCCAATAGGTTTGCTCCAGATGAGCATAGCAGTTTGGAATAAAAGACTGACATCAATGCAAACCATGGCAATCAAGTCTTCACATACTTCAAAAGTCGAAGGGAAGGTCACGTTATTTAATTTTTCGCCAGGCAGGCTCTCAAATTAGATCTGAAGCATGTCCAGGCTGGTGGAAAAGGCCACAAGACCATAAACAAAGGCTTCCCAGATGAACGCTTAAAAAAAACTCTGTTTACTGTCTTTGAATATCTTTGCCAGAAGTTTTCAAAAATAGGCAACCTAATCAAGCCCCAAAATGTTTTCTTAGCAGCACCTTCAGAACAATTTAAAGAATAAACATTTACGACACAAAGTATATCCCTGATTACCAGACTTGGCTCTGCAATTAGTACAAAATATTTGTGGTCTTAAATGGTCAATGGTGAGACACTTTAAATTAAAAAAAAAAAAAAAAAAAAAAAAAGTTATACATAAGGTCTGTTGTATCTAATTTTCCACCGTCTTGAGCGCACTCTGAAGAAAAAGTACATAACCATAAGGAATAATGAAGATGTTATATAAAGGACCACACACAGACTCATATCTATGTTGGAGAAGCCAAGTCCTAGAAAAGTAACAGACGTTTTGCTACTTTCCAGATGGTAGTTGGAATTTTTACTTTTGTTTGGTTGATTTTGAATTAACTTGTCTAAAAATTCAGGTCTAGGATGTTCGCGCTGCTTGTGTTTTTCAGAGTTATTATCACTCCCAGTATTCTTTGTAGGAAGTTTGTCTCTTTTCTCGTCTACTACGTCATGCTGGTCAGTGTTGGGGTCCGCATACTGCAGGGAGATCTCTTTGCTACTGTAGTGTTGCTTGAGAAAGGCAAGAACTTCCTTTTCATTCCAGCTGTGGACACCACCCTCCTCTTCATGGCATGCGGGGCAAAGGTCAGGTGTTGGCCACTGAACCTTTGGGCTTTTCGGGTCTTCACTGGGAGCACCTGCATGAGGAATGATACATTAGCTTGATCTCTTTACACCACAAACTACACTGGCAAAAATTGAACAATGTTCTGAACTACAGACAATATGGTCATAAAGTGAAAAAAACAAAAAAACACTAGAATCCTATAGCACAATTAACAAATGGGGACTAACAACAGTATCAATATTGTACAATTGTCCACTTAGCATTGTTCTAAAGGCTCAAGGTATTTTACCTTCATGCATGCTATGCATGAAGGTGAAAAAATCTTCTATGTGTAGCATTCCCCCCCCCCCCCCCCCAATACTCACTTAAGCCACCTTTGGATCCAGCAATGTGCATTGGAGTCTCGGCTATCCCAGGACTCCCTCTTTCATTGGCTGCCACTGCTGTAAATCACAGCCAGTGAGCCAATGAGAAGAAGAGAGAGGGAGCGGGGCCATGCCACAGCTCCGTGTTTGAATGAACACACAGAGCAGAGTGCCCCATAGCAAGCTGCATGCTGTGGGTGCACCCGAAAGGAGGGAGGGGCCAAGAGCGCCGGCGGGGGACCCGAAAAGAGGAGGATCTGGGCTGCTCTGTGCAAAACCAGTATAGACATGTTTGATATTTTTTTCCATTAAAAAAAAAATAAGCCTTTAGAATCACTTTAATAAAGCATAATTTGAGTCAATGCTTCTCTGGTGTTCAATGCTTTTTTTTTTCAGAAAAAAGGAACTGTTACAAGAAAACTGGTGAGTTTCAAGCAGGTAGGGAATGGAATTTCCTTTCTGTAAACATATCCCTTCTAGTTTTAGTCTACAAATAATAATATATTGCTTAAGTGTGCAATCAAAGTTTGAGATACCGCACACACTGAAAACACAGTGAGCTTGTGCGCCATGATGCCAAGTGCCAAATACATATCAATGGCTGAACACAATGACAAGGAAAAAAAAACATTCAAGTCGATTGCAGAATTTGTCAGTGCGGACAGAGCAGCCAGAAAAAAAAAAAAGGGGGGGGGGGGGGGGGGGGACGACATAACTTCCAGTGAGTAAGAAGTGTCCTTTGTGCTGTAATCTCTTCTACCAATTGAAATCTTACATCCATGCTCCCCCCTCCACCATAATCTACTGGTGTAACAGGGGTAATAGAACTAAGGGGCTGTCACAGGCTCTCATCAAGACAGCCTGACTATGAATGCCTTTTCCAGAATGACGGAGCTGAGCGGAAAGGGCAGGCATAGTTATACACTCTTGATAAGAGCTTGTGACAGCCCCTTAGTTCTATATAACCCCCACCACACCAGAAGATAAATATGTCGGGTGTGGGAAGTGGGGGCATGGATGGAGGAAGATTTCACCTAATAGAAGAGGAATCAGATGCCCATTAGCCCCTTGGACTATGCTTTTTGAGATATGACCTTTCCAGCTATGTCATTTCTTGTAAAGACAATCTGTGCTTGATGGATTATATTTATTTTGTATTGCAAAAAATACTGAACTAAAAACAGCACAAGGTTCACATCCTATGGATTGTAAATTATGTTCCTTGCACTGATTTTTGTGTTTTTTTATTTTGGATGCACTTGGAGTTTAAACATTTTTTTGCATCTAAATTGAAATTTTGTAGCACCAATCAAACACACCGTTCTTTTAAAATTCAGCGATAATTTTTAAATCAATAACAGACTGAAATGAACCATAATTTTCGCAGCTTAGCAACTGTGCTTATGAATAATATTTAAACACAATGGCAAGGAAATACAGTTGTGTTCAAAATAATAGCAGTCAGACATCACTAACCTGATCAATCACTGTTTTTGGTAGAAATTATATTTCTACATGGCAAATAATTTACTAGCAGGTGTAGTAGAGTAATAGAAATCCAACAGACCCAACAGTCATGACATGCATGCTGCTGATTCTGTGTAATTGAATCACTAATTGAAAGGGGCATGTTCAAAATAATAGCAGTGTGGAGTTCTATTAGTGAGGTCATTCACTCTTTGAAAAACAGGTGGCAATTATTGCCCATATTTAAGGAAGGAAGGCAGCAAATGTTGTACATGCTGGTTACAGTGCATTTCTCTCTGAAATTCTGAGGAAAATGGGTCGTTCCAGACATTGTTCAGAAGAACAGCGTACCTTGATTAAAAAGTTGATTGGAGAGGGGAAAACATATAAAGAAGTGCAGAAAATAATAGGCTGCTCAGCTAAAATGATCGCAAATGCTTTAAAATGGCAACCAAAACCTGAAAGACGTGGAAGAAAGCGAAAAACTGCCATTCAAATGGATAGAATAGCCACAATGGCAAGGACTCAGCCAACAATCAGCTCCAGGAAGATCAAAGAAGGTGTAAAGTTCCCTGTGAGTACTGTTACAATTAGAAGACGAATATGTGAAGCCAAGCTATCTGCAAGAAGCCCCCGCAAAGTCCCACTGTTGAAAAAAAGACATGTGCTGAAGAGGTTACAATTTGCCAAAGAGCACATTGACTGGCCTAAAGAGAAATGGTGCAACATTTTGTGAACTGATGAAAGTAAGATTGTTCTTTTTGGGTCTAGTGGCCGGAGACAGTTTGTCAGACGACCCCCAAACACTGAATTCAAGCCACAGTACACTGTGAAGACAGTGAAGCATGGTTGTGCAAGCATCATGATATGGGGATGTTTCTCATACTACGGTGTTGGGCCTATTTATCGCATACCAGGGATCATGGATCAGTTTGAATACATCAGAATACTTGAAGAGGTCATGCTGCCTTATGCTGAAGAGGAAATGCCCTTGAAATGGGTGTTCCAACAAGACAACGACCCCAAACACACCAGTAAACGTGCAACATCTTGGTTCCAGACCAACAAGATTGATGTTATGGAGTGGACAGCCCAATCCCCGGATCTTAATCCAATAGAAAACTTGTGGGGTGACATCAAAAATGCAGGTTTTGAGGCAAAACCAAGAAATAAAGAAGAACTGTGGAATGTAGTCCAATCATCCTGGGCTGGAATACCTGTTCACAGGTGCCAGAAGTTGGTTGACTCCATGCAACACAGATGTACAGCAGTTCTCAGAAACAGTGCTTATACAACTAAATATTCATTAAGTGATTCAAAGGAAAGCAAATTCTTCAAACATTTTTCAGCTTTTATAGTGAATGTTTGAGTTTGTAAAGAAGAATACAAACACTGCTATTTTTTTGAACAGTCTAATATTCACTTTTCTTCAATTGTTTTAGAGGAACAACACAAATTTGATATATTTTTCTTCATGTTTTGATTTGGAATAGAATGTGTAGTGTTCCCAATGCATTTGTGTGTATGGAAATAAAAGCTGTTAGAAGGAATTTGAGCTTTATTTACTTTTTTTCAACACTCTATTATTTTGAACACAACTGTATATTTTTCTAAAAGTCTTGAAGTAAATTTCAGTCATGTAGAAGGTACAAATTCTAGTACTTCCTTTCACCATAGATCTCTTTGCACTACAAAAGTGGTTTACCAGTAGAGTCTACAACATCTATATTAATCAATCGTTTTCAGGATGAAAGCATACAGCCAGCAAAATCCATTACTGTTCAATCATTCAGAGCTCATTTGCTGAAATCTGCCGTGAAAATACTGCAGCAACTTTGTATTGAAAATGTACTCCTCCAACTGGTACATTCAGCATGGAAATATGAACCGCTTTACCAGATTGGGAATGACTGCTATCCTAGCACAACCTGAATACCAGGCCAAACAGTGAAAATGCCCTCTGGTTTCTAGTTTTCTGGTGTTTCAGAAATACCGAATCATGAGCTTGAGATACTACATTGTGAACTTGCTAATCAAGCACATCCCTAATAAACCCAAATGATGTTACAGTGCTGGTTCCTTGAGTTGTACAGAATTATAGGACAAGGGAAGCTGCATTGCATTCAATGGTGCCATTCAACTAACATGTGACTCAGCAAAGTGCGATCTTTGAAAAAGGTTTCTTTCCTACTTTGGTGCAATTTACAGTGCGACTTGGTCCCATGGAATATGCAAGAATGCATCAAAGCTGTGCTATACAATTGCAGCGAAAACCGCATTGCAACAGTGTGAACCTAGCCTCTGACCTTTCTCCCATATGATACTGCCACAGAGATTACATTCCAGGAGATACTGAGCTGAAAGTGAATGTTAGAACAGAACAAATGACAAGAGACTATAGTTCTATTTTAAATCCTTGTTTCATCAGCTGTAGGAGATCATGGGATACTTCCTCCAAACTCTAGCAAAGTTAAGAGTGGATTTCTTTACGGTAGCAAAATTGCATTGTTTCCTGCCCAGCATTAGCAATCCAACATAATTGTTACCAACACTTTACTGCTTTCTATATAGGCGCTACAAAGTTGGTTACATATTGCATAGTCCGCCTAGCGGTTGGTGCTACGGTTGCGTGATCCTGGGCTCAGCAAATGGAAGAGAGTGTATGCTTCCCCCTTTTTTGTACTTTTTTTTTTATATGAAGGCAGATGCCTTAATGGGTAACATGTGTTTCTTTAGAGGGTGTGCTACTATATTATAAATGTTGCTTGACTTTTCTAAGCTCTTGTTTTCCCTGGTCTGGGGTTACAGAATCGTAATTTGTTTTGTTGTACAACCGTCTATTTTTTCTTTAACTTCTTGCCGACCGCGCATAGCCGAATGACGGCTTCACCGCGGCCGGCCAGTTCTGAGTGGACGTCATATGACGTCCTCCCAGAACGCGCTCTCCTGCGCGCCCCAGGGGGCGCGCACCCGGCGATCTCCGTGATCGCTGTGTCCTACGGACACAGCTGATCGCGTGATGATGTGGTGAAAGGCCGATCCCACCGGCCTTTTTACCACGTGACCAGCGGTGTCTAATGACACGCTGATCACAGGGAAATGCAAGTGCCGGTTCTCGGCTGCACTTTCCTCACGCTGTCAGATCGTGAGGAAAGTACTGCCGAGAACCGGCAGTTGTCAGAGCGGGGATCGGCACCGATCATCAGGGCACTGATGATCAGTGCCCTGATGATCGGTGCCCAGCAGTGACACCCGCAAGTTCCGCCCAGCAGTGCGCCCACTAGCCCCGCCCACCCGTTCCCAGCAGTGCCCCCACCTGTGCCCAGCAGTGCCCCCACCTGTGCCACTCTGCAGTGCCACCTACCTGTGCCCAGAAGTGCCACCTACATGTGCTCAGCAGTGCCACCCACCTGTGCCCACCCACCAGTGCCACCCACCTGTGCCCACCAGTGCCACCCACCTGTGCCCACCCACCAGTGCTGCCCACCAGTGCCACCCACCAGTGCAGCCCAGCAGTGCTGCCAGTCAGTGCCACCAGTCAGTGCCCAGGGGTTGTGCCAGTCAGTGCCGCCAGTCAGTGCCCAGAAGTGATGCCAGTCAGTGCCGTCTATCAGTACCCATCATCAGTGTCACCTATCAGTGCCGCCTATCAGTGCTGCATATCAGTGCCGCCTATCCGTGACCCCTAATTAGTGCTGTCTATCAGTGCCGCCTATCCGTGCCACCTCATTAGTACTGCCTATCAGTGCCCTTTAGTGCTGCCTATCAGTGCCCATCAGTGCCGCCTATCAGTGCCCATCAGTGCCGCCTCATCAACGCAAATCAGTGAAGGAGAAAAAATACCTGTTTGAAAAATTTTATAAAAGAAACAAATAAACTTTTTTTTTTTCAAATTTTTTGCACTTTTTTAATTTATAGCGCAAAAAGTAAAGCGCCCAGTGGCGATTAAATACCACCAAAAGAAAGCTCTATTTGTGAGAAAAAAATGGTCAAAATTTCATATGGGTACAATGTTGCATGACCGCGCAATTGTCAATCAAAGTGCGGCAGCGCTGAAAGCTGAAAATTGGCCTGGTAAGGAAGGGGGTATAAGTGCCTGGTAGGCAAGTGGTTAAAGATATCAATAAAACTCTTAGGTCCTTTTCACACTGACTGTCCGATTGGGTCCGCCTGTCAGTTTTTCAGACCATCCATAGACTTGTATGGACCGGCGGGTGTCAGCGGACAGGTGTCCACTGACACCCACCGGCATCCGATCCAATCCTGTATGCCAAAAACAGACAGATGGGAATCCATTCCCCATCCGCTCAGTGGATCGGATAGGATGACAGGTGGAAAGCGGCCACCTCCCTGCCCTCATCTCTGGTACAAATGCAGTGATGTCTGCAGCAGCTGGTATTAGCACATAAACAGCAGCTGCACTGACTTGGGAATGACTTGTATACTAGCATTGAATAAAATGGCTGCAGTCTGATAAATATTATTTCTTTAGCCCCAGCACATATGCCCAAAACTATTTTATTTGCATACCAGCCAGTCGATTATTGACCACATTGTGTTTTCGCCATAGCCACATGACTGCTTCTTCTGCTGTTTTCACGGCGTCCACAGACTCTTTAGCCATTGCTTCAAAGTGCTTTGCGCATTCACGACAGCCAAAAAATTCGCGGATGTAACGCCTCATGATCTTCAGAACAGCCTGGGCATCATTTTCAAAAGCTGGGGAGGAAAAAAAAACAAAAATTCTATCACAACAAAACCAAATAAAAAAACCCCCACCATCATAGATAATCACTTAGCAACATCACATGTAAAGATGAACTTTAGGCAAAATATAGCAAAAAAAAGTTTTACTTGGGTATTACATATGTATTTTTAATTACAATTCACATAATAATGTAACAAATGTTTTTCACTTTAGCTTCTTGTAATTCTCAGCACAGCAGCACTCACATTGGAAATAGGAAGACATGCCAATCAGGGTTTTTTTGCAATGCACATTGGTGCTGGTCCAATTTAACTGCAGGAATGGCTCTGATAAGTGTGGGGCTGCTTCTTCAAGGACTACACAGGAGTTGGGTCAGTGACGAAGTAAGGTTACTTCATGGCAGCAGAGAAAAGGGAAGTCACAGACCTAGCTATGCTGTTTCAAAGACTGCCGGGATCACAGGGCTTTCTGAAGAGCATTAGAAATCCTCTGGTAGCTAATAGTGCACATATGTGTATTTCATGGTTTTCCAAAGCTCAGCTGTCAAGCTACGTATTGAAGAATGCACTGTTGTAATGCTGATCTAGTTGCCAAGGATGCTGTTGCCTAATTGCCAGCCAGTAAGACAGACTGCTCCTTCTACAATGCAGCAACACTCAAACAACACTGAAGCTCACTACAGTAGCTCGGGAAAAGCCTCAAAGCAATAAATGTATGAATGCAGGACTCTTCAAAGACTTTATAGGATGACCTACAGAGTGAATTGCAAATGGTCACCTGCATTACTGCTGAACTGACCTCTCCTTTTAATTCCATAATTAAAAGGGCCACAACAGAAAAATGCTACAACATGCTATTGAAAACCAGTGTTATGGAGGCCACTGGAACAGTCCGCCGCCAGCTTGTCTTCCATCTAATGGCCTGGCATAGTGCCAGTGCCCACTTTAGTCATATCAATATTTAACATCCTTGAAGCAGTAATGTTTTGCTGTGTCTTATCAAGAACGGAGGTGGGAAAGATGAGAGGGATGGCCAGTATCAGGATTCTGGAATGGAGGCTATGGTTTCAGCACAGACAAAATAGGCTTGATAGAGAGATAATGAAGTGGTTGGGTACACAATGGGTAAAGAGAGAGCCAGAGCATAGTGCTGTCCCTATATACATCTGGTATACGGGCAGCTATACACACACTACCTGCAGCCATTGAGAAATTAGGTATAATAATTAGATATTCTGTGTACATACAAACTATGGAATAAAAAAAAATATGCCTTGGGCTCAGATACTTTAGTTACCCTTACAATTCCACAACTGTATTTGTGGTGTCTAATAAACTCAAACATTTCATTCATGTGCCCAGAAAAAAAAACAACACAGGAAATCAGTTTACATTGGTCTCTAGTGAGTGGACATACTGTCTTCTATATCTGAAACAACTAATTGACATAAATCGATAATAAAAAAATAGTCAGATTTTCATTATCAATTAGCCGATTAGTTGGCATGCATACAGAATGCATTATTTGTTTACATATCAGTATGCACAATGCAGTACACATACAGCTCAGTACACCGTCCATACATGTCAGTAAATGCCCGAGTGTGTTAAGAATAATGCCCCTGGGCAGGGGAAGGAAGTGATATCTGAATCCAGAGAAGCTGGAGCAAATAGACTGGAGTTAAGTTAAGGCATTACAATAAAATTTTAATTAAAAGTTCAGTATTATGCATTTAAAAATTAGTATATTCAAGAAAACAGTCAGCTTTTAGTACTACTTTATAATAAAAAAAAAAAAGATTTATATTCCTTCTCCCCACACCCAACCACTTTGCCTGTAATTAAAGTTGCTGAGTCGTCAACATCTACAGCACCTCTAGTTGACACATTCCTTGAATCGGGGGCAGCAGTGAAGAAGAGATTAAAGAGGGGAAACATGAGGAAGATATTTAAGTTGATCTTCCCCCAAAAGTCTTCCTTAGGGGGAATTTGGGGGTAGAGGTGGTACCTAATTTTGACAGGTAGCCATTCCCTCTTCTGCTCAAGTTCAGTGGACATTTTTCTGCCTCCCTGTAGTCTTCAGGGATATGTCAAAGGCCCTAGAAGACTCCGTGACCATTCATAAAACACAACATGGCTTGTGCATACGCAGTGAGCAGCCGGCTGTGAAACCGAAAGCAGCACAGCTGTCTGCCCATAGTTAGGATGCTGGCGCCGGGAACCAGAAGGCTAGTGAAGAGCTAGACTGACTGCTTTAATACTCAAGTAAAAATTATGTCCAGCCTTATTTTGCAGAGAAGCCCCTAGCCAAGGAGGAAAACCCTTTGAATTGGGGGAAGAGTAACCCAAGAGAAATACCTTTCGTTGGCAAAACTAGCAAAATATTACTTTAGTATCCCAAGCAGCTCCACACCATCAGAGCACCTCTTCTCTGCTGCAAGCAATAGTTTGAAAAAAGGAGCCTGCCTCAACCCTGATCATGCGGACATGTTAACATTCTTACAATCTGATGCAAAGTTTCTGGGACAGTGATAGTCCACCTCTACTCAGAATGTTTGTGCTTTTTTTTTTACTCTTCTTGTTAAAACATTTGTACAGTTAAGCAATGTTAATGTAGAGTTTGCATTTTTATTCTGCAGTTTGTGTGTAAAATGATGTTTGTGCACTAATTTTAAATAAAAGAAAAAAAAATGGCATATTGGAGGTTTTTTTCCAACTAATCCAAAAAAATAAATTGGCCAACTACTTATGAAAATAAATTGCTAGTTGCAGCCCTACTGCCTTCTTATAAATATGAAGCAACGCCGTAATGTCATTGGTCTTTAGTGATTAGGTCATGTTCTGAATTTTAAGAGTCTCTGTGATGTCACTGGTCTCAGGCAAAATGAATAAGCTCTCTTTAGAGTGTTCTCTTTAAATGAAGTCTTAGTGAGGTCACTGGTCCCTAGTAATTGGAGAGGATGTATTCTCATAAATACGAAAAGGTGTCAGTGCTGTCACTGGTCTCTAGTGTACATTAGCCCAGTTATGGTATTTAAAAAGTAGTCAATCATACAACCTTAAGGGCTCGTTCACACTTGACTGTTTTTCCAACTCTTGCCAAACGCCCCTATAGCGTTTGATAAGCGTTGGTCCGGCGTTTGCAGAGTGTTTTTACCGCATGCACAGTTCAGCGGCGGTTGCTAGGCGTTTGTCGAGCGTTAAAAACGCCCCACAAATGCCTATAATGAAGTTTGAATGGTCTTAACGCTCCGCAAACGGCCGGCGTTTGCGGAGTGGCACTATAAAACTTGAATAGGAGGCTTCAACTCCTCCTGGCTCGACCAGAGGCGTTCGTTTTGCCGCGACGCTAACGCTCCTATTTGAACAGCACTATGTGCTGCAATGTGCAAATTTTCCCAGGTGTTTGGGAAACGGTAAAAACGCTTCCCAAATGACTGTCTGCCGCTTGCTAACAAGGCTAGTGTGAACGTAGCCTAACTTTAAACATGACTTAAAGTGTATCTATAACAGATCCTTTTTTAGTTTTGCCAGACAGGATGTGATGACGGAAAAAAAAACCCAAAACAATAAAAAGCTAACAAAGGTTCAAGCATTTGCCTACTTAACTTAAACAAATAGGATTTTTTTTACTTACCAAAAAAATCTGTTTCCAGGAGTGCAGTAAAGAGCACAGGATTCTTTTTATAAATTGTATTTATTGGTTTATGAGAATAATAGCACACAAAACATAGCCTTGGGTGGTTCCCTGGCTCAACAATATGAACACAGGCTTCTTTAAATAATTATGACTGGGCTATATGCATATAGATACACTATATTGCCAAAACTACTGGGACGGCTGCCTTTACATGCACATGACCTTTAATGGCATCCCAGTCCTAGTCCGTAGGGTTCAATATTGAGTTGGCCCACCTTTTGCAGCAATAACAGCTTCAACTCTTCTGGGAAGGCTGATCACAAGGTTTAGGAGCGTGTCTATGGGAATGTTTGAAGATTGTTCCAGAAGCGCATTTGTGAGGTCAGGCACTGATGTTGGACGAGAAGGCCTGTATCGCAGTCTCTGCGCTAATCCATCCCAAAGAGGTCAGGACTCTGTACAGGTCAGCCAAGTTCTTCCACCCCAAACTTGCTCATCCATGTCTTTATGGACTTTGCTTTGTGCACTGGTGCGCAGTCATGTTGGAACAGGAAGAGGCCATCCCCAAACTGTTCCCACCAAGTCCGGAGCATAAAATTGTCCAAAGTGTCTTGGAATGCTGATGCCTTAAGATTTCCCTTCACTGGAACTAAGGGGCCAAAGCCCAACTCCTAAAAAACAACCCCTCCACCAAATTTTACACTTAGCACAAAGCAGTCAAGCAAGTACCGTTCTCTTGGCAACTGCCAAACCCAGACACGTCCATCGGATTGCCAGACAGAGAAGTGCGATTCATCACTCCAGAGAACACGTCTCCACTGGTGGCGTGCTTTACACCACTGCATCCGACGCTTTGCATTGCACTTGGTGATGTAAGGCTCGGATACAGCTGTTCGGCCATGGAAACCCATTCCATGAAGCTCTCTACGCACGGTTGTGCTAATCCGAAGGCCACACGAAGTTTGGAGGTCTTTAGCTATTGACTCTGCAGACAGCGACTTCTGCGCAGTGTGCTCTTCAGCATGCATGATCCCACGCTGTCATTTTACGTGGCCTACCACTTTGTGGCTGAGTTGTTTGTGGCTGAGTTGCTGTTGTTCCCAGTTTCTTCTACTTTGCTATAATACCACTAACAGTTAACCGTTGAAAATTTAGTAGCAAAGAAATTTCACGGATGGACTTACTACACAGGTGGCAACCTATCACGGTACCACACTGAATTCACTGAGCTCCTGAGAGCAACCCATTCTTTCACAAAATGTTTGTAGAAGCAGTCTGCATGCCTAGGTGCTTGATTTGTTACTCAAAGAATAAATGGTGAGAACAAGACAAAAAAAGGAAAAAAAGTAAAGCAGCTAGCACAATCCACGTG